TAGTGACATTTACGCAAAAATCACATCTTGGTTATTTTTCGATAACTAACAAGAGCGATTTTGATTATGAATTTGTTTTATAAAATTCTAAGCTGTTGCACTACAAAAATATAGATTTTAAGAAAAGTGTTATGCTTAAAGAATGAAAAATACCTTGTAGTACATTTAAAATTGTATATGTCTTTCGATACCCTTGATAGAGTATTCTCTACTTTTATTTTATTTTCCAAACGTCAAAATGCTTTAAATAAAACAAATTTTTTTCACATCCATATATTATTGTAACATGTACTTTTTAAAATTTTTTAGAGGAGAGGCTTTACTGCTGCTCATTTTAAACCCATCGTTTTAATTTTATATATCTGAAAAATAATCACTTTGGGCTTACATGTTTAATAAATATAAAATTATGTATGTTAAAATATTTGTAATTAGGCACGTAGGTCAGATTAAGTTTTTATTAAATAGCATGCAAGGGCTAACTGCCTAAAGAGAGAGAGCCCATCCTGGAGGAATTTTGAAGAAAAACTGACCTTTGAGTGGGTATTAAAAATAATATTTATAATTTTCATTCAAATTATATTCGTATATATTTTTTATGTAAAATTTTCGGGTGTATGCTAAATTAGTGTAAATTACTTTACACGAAAAATATAGTGAATGTACAGAAATTAAAGATTTGCACATGCCGGAAATGAAAAATAGGAAATATGTATGGGTATTTATGCATGTGCTTGCAAAAAGCATGTATCTGCCTTTGACAAAATACTTAAATATTCATTAAATTATTTATAAATGTATTTGAAATGAATTTATTCACTTATAAACAACTGTGAAAGTACTGTGAAGAAATCTAATTATTAAATGCGTCTAATTTATAATGATTATAAATGTTATCTAAATATATAATAACCTTAATATTGAATTGTAAACATAAATTGAAATTCTGTTGACAAATACGTTATAAAACTATTTAAGAAAGAATTGTTCGTATTGGAAAGCAATCTGTTAAAAGGTATTGTAAAGCAAATGCTATGAGATGCGCACTTAAGAATGTAATGAAGAGTTTTGGAATATGTATTGTTGAAATGAAGGGTAAAAAAATATCTGATAAGTATAATTAAAAGAATTATTCCCCTTACATTTTATAATAACTCAGTTACAAGTTTTTAATAATACTTAAAAAAGAAAAAAACTTATTTTATTCTCTTTCAGAAATGTTCAGAGAAAGTCAAGTACTATTTAATACCTATTTAATTATTAGGAATTAGCGAAATACGTATTTAAAGTATTTCGCTAATTCCTAGTAATTCTCTAATTTAAAATGAACCAAATAGAGCATTAATTATAAATTGACTTAAATTTTTCGATTTAAAAGATGCCTCAGAAGCCAAAAATTCATGTCATATTTAAGAAAGTATTTTAGGAAGAAGCTCTATAAATAGAAAAGAAATAATGCATAATTTTAATATTAATAATACAATAAACTTAATCTTAATTTTTGTTTCTTAATTTTTGTACCTTAACCGAATAAAACCAAATTACCTTAATTTTTTTTTTAATGTAATTAACGAAAACTTGTGAAAATATTTCATTCAAATTAAACCATTCTGAGAAAACTGTCCTGTGAAAAGTATAGCATTTAATTCCGTTCAGAATGAAATGTTGTTTTCACATACTTAGGACTCTGAAGTGTTGTAGAAAAAGAAAATATATACATTTATAGTGTATATTTATGACGTAATTACAAAATATTTACATCCGAATGCGTCAAATCCCATAGAAACTCAATGGTAAATGACCCAATGTTTTGGTCACCACGTAGGGATCGCCGGTGCTTCAGAGCACGGGTACGGGAGAAACTTGTTTAGGGCGACTCCATCTTACTTCCTACCTCCATGGTAGGGAGGCCCCGTGGAGGTTTTTTTAAGGGAAACTGGCTTGTATCCACGTTACACATGGGTAAAACCACGAAAATGCCCATGCAGCCAGCCCGTTCGCCGGATTTCAAACCCCGGACCGAACTACCAGGCCGCTGGTGGGCCCCACTCATTCATTCATTGGGCTAATTATTTCAATTGTTACAGCTTCTGATATTTCTTCAAAATTTATATGAGGGTTGTGTAAATAATTTTCGACCTTTTGCCAGGAAAACTATATTGTGTATGTGTCGGAATTGAGACCCTAAACCCCTTCAAAGTTAGCCCCTTGCACCTCCATTCACTTAGTCCACCAGTCCTTGTACTGCTGAAAACAGATATGGTTTTTTTTTTTGGAAATGTCATTTCATCTCAGCCATCTCATTCTGCATTATCTCTTCTCTGTTCTCAAAATGTGATCCTTTCAATATCGTCTTCAATTTGGAAACAACTAGAAGTCGCAAGGAGCCCTGTCTGAAGAGTAGGGAAGTTGGTGAATGATTGGAATTCTATGTGTCACCAGGAAAGTCTGAACCAAATACTATGAATGAGCTGGAGCATTGCATGATGCATTTGCCAGTTTTTCGTCATCTAGAGTTCTGGTCATTTGTGCCTAACTGCGTCATGGAGTTGGTGGAGAACTTCTTGTTAGCACCCTTTTATCACTATTTGCCTTCCCACTGCACAGATTCCCGGATAACAGACAATGCAATAAGCATCACCTTGATTTTATTTCAGCCCTGTTACATTTTTTCGGCTTTCAGGACTCAGGAAGCCTCCATTATGATGATTGTGCTTTTGTTCATGTTATACCCATTCACTCATGAGTTAGCTGCAATTATCACAGTGTTCAGAAACTGAGGTTCAGTGCCGGTAGTGTCCTGCAGTCTCAAGACTGTTCTTTCTGTTCTACAAACCAACAGCATCTTGGACACAAGTTTTGTGGCCCCTATTCGTAATCTTGGTGGCAAGCAGGCAACGACTGGCACACTTGTACATAGAGAGAAAATTCAAGCACGCTGTATTAAGCTGTCTCCTTATAGTCCACAGTGGTGCCGCCCCAGCATCATTACTTTCGGTGGGAAAATTCAGAGTTGGATACTTTTTAGACAGACCTCGTAAAATCACTCATCATTTGCAGCCATAATTGTTTCCAAGAACTTTTCATTGGTGCCTCTTTTATTTCAGTCCACGAATCTCCAGTGTTGTTTATTATGTTCTATATATTATATAGTTCTTCCAAAAATCTTCCTTGTCAGTTGCCTTTATAGTCTTAGTCATTATCATCCTCATATGTGAGTAATGTCGTTTAAATGTATCTATTACTGTTAAATCCATGGGCAGGTAGTATTGGGAGGAAGAAACACAACACTGATTTCTGAGTATACATTCTGCTGAGATTTTGGGTGTCCTGGAGTATTGCATAAGATTTATTATGCTTTAAATTGTAAATTATTATTTTTACAATATTGCTTTAACTCTCGGCACAAAATGAAAATTGAATCAATTTTTAAATATTAGTGCAGTAACCCAGGTATTTTTATTTGATTACCACTTGCCTGTATCAAAGTAACAGGTCGCCACTCACTTCTACCAATCATACATTATGTTTAAGATGCATTAAATTTCCAAAAATATGAGTGCAGTTTGCATCTGTGCTGATATATGAATGAGAGTTGCTTTATCAAGCAATAAAAATTAAGTGGTGAATCTACAAATTTCATCATTTTATCTTTATGCCAGCAACATCTATAACCATCTTGGCTGTGACTAAAAAGTAATCTCCTGTGAAGACTCTCCTGTGCATCCTACATATATATGTATCTGTAATTAATTATGACTGTCACCTTGGACAGCAAATAGATGATGCACATAATAAATATTTATGTTGAAGAGTATTGCAGTTTTTCTAATATTATATTTTGAAAATTATTATCTAATGGCCTTATCGAATGGGAATTATACAGTCGTACTGTGTCTTCAGGTAGTCTGTAAATACCTTTTTATAGAATCTCTTAACAATAAAGTTTCCTTTAAATGCAGATGTCTTTTTTTTTTAAATGCTGTGTAGCATTATATTCAAAAAATATTTCTTGCAGTAAAGTAAAAGTTTTCATACATGTGTTTTATTTCTGATTAGTAATTAAGTTAGGGAATAAGAATGAAATATTAAATGATTTTAGTAAAGTTGCTAAAGTAGGTGTTTATATTGTGTAAGACAGTGTATTTCAGGGCTAGTTTTCTTTTTATAATGCAGAAGGATTTTGAAACCCTTTCTGTTCCTGTCTACAATTAGAACCTTGTGTTTTTTTTTTTTTTTTTTTTTTTTTTTTTTTTTTTTAAATCAGAATGAAAACATAATCTGGTATAGTAATGGCATTGGTAAAATAAAATAAAAAGCAACCATCAGAAACTTGGTTCTGAAAACTTGTTCTAGAAATAGTATGAATCTGATAGAGATATAGATGCTTGTTTTTTTGTTGTTAGCAAATATTTAAGTATTCTGTTTTGCTGAGGTAGACTTTAAATTGAGATTTGTATGAATGGATATACAATTAACAAAGATTGTTTAAAAAATGGTGGTAATGTAATTTATGATATAACCACATTCTAGAAAAGAACTAGGCAGGAAGTTTTTGGTTTGTTTGACATTTCTTAACAGGAAATGGTTTAAAAGTATTCCTAAAGTTAACCAATAATTTAGATCATCTATATAACTATAATTTGAAAAAATACATAATCTTGAAGTTTTTTGGCTTATTTGACAGATATCATTCAAGAAATATTCACGACAGTCCTTGTAACATTTTGAACATTATAAAATATAAATTCTCATAATATTATCTGATTTCAATTGAAACCAGCAGATTGACCATATATATTGTATATGTATGCAGGGTACCTTCAATTCTAGTGTATCATTTTTTATTTCAAATTATAGTTTCAAAACCTGAGTAGTATAATTTGAATTTTTATTCAGTATTTATAATAGTGAAACTTGATAGGTTTTTTTTAAAAAATATCTTGTTAATTAAACAGTGATAGCATATTGTAAAACATTGCAAATTATTCTTTTTACAGTAATCCATCCACATATATTGCATGTTCTTCTGGAGTACATCCTTATAATAAATGCAGCAGTTGTTGTAGCTGTCCATTTTATACTGAATCTGTACTCATTGATGCAATAGGACTTGGATGTATCTACAGGGTTGGAATTTCTTGATTATTGATCTCTGTATAATCCTTGTTATAGGTATTAACTTCACTGTGAGAAGGATAGCGAAAGGTAATGGAGAAGCAATATTTGTATTTTTAAAGCTTTTTTTTAAGTGTTTTACTGCTTAAATATTAACATATGTGCATTTTACAGAATAATGTCTGCATCTGATACAGAAGCAAACTTAGTGAATGCAAAAGAAACAAGTAATAGCGAAATCGTGGAAGAGGATGGTGGAATTAGTAGTCCTGGGGAATACATTGATAGCCCTGAAGCAGGTAAAGTGGTTAAATTATTTGCTTAATTTGGTGATTTTTCATTAATATTATATATTTTAATTTAATAATCTGCATCATGAGAAATTACGAAGTGATATAATGAGTAAGCAAAAAGATGTGGAGGAAAGCAAAAGTGAAATATTGATAAATTACCTGAAAAATTAAAATGCAGTTGAAGCTAGTTATAATAACTCATCTTACATAAGGACATTATAATGAGTGATTGCAAGAGTAGAAATAAATCTTATATATCCTTATTGATTACAAACATTTAGTACTGGCTAATGTAATGGAATGGCATAGTCCCTATGAAAAGTGGTTATTATAGGAAGCATAGACTGTATAAAGAACTGTGGCATTAAATAAATTTTTAAGTTAAAAAGAACATGTATAATTATGTCAGAATAAATTTGCCAGATAATTGGCTAGATGTGTATGTGTATGAACAGCTTAAAATCATCTGCGTCCGGTTAGCCCGTTGGCAGTGTCTCAAAGCACATTTGACTAACAAAAAGGTCACACTTTGTATCTGGTGGGATTGCCGTGTTATCCACAAAGAGTGTCTTGAAAAATGTAAAACCCGTGACAGTAAGCTGTACAGCAAGATGCTAGTCCATGGTGGGGCTGCTCTCAAGGAAAAACTAACTGAATTCTGGCACAAAAAGTTTATATTCCATCAAGATAATGCAAGACCACATGTGTCTACATTCACTGGCTGGACTCTGTTCAAATTAACATCTCACAGTAAAAAGAGTAAAATTGTATTTACATGTAAATACAATAAAATACAATTTTTAATTGTTAAGTAAAACTTTTAATTCACTGAAGTAAAAATAAGCACATTAGGAAAAATGCTAGTATAACCTATTTGAATATTGTTTTGTTATTATACTCTTGATGCAATGTAATAAAAAATGTTCGAATTATTTCTCATATATTTTTTATATATTTAATTATTGTTTATTTTTTTATCTGAAAAAAAAAAAAAGCTTTAGCTTATATTTGAGGCTCCTTTTTAAAATTTGCTGTGAATGAAGCACTTTTTTTTTTCTAGCTTATTGTAATTTTCTATAGAAAAGAATTTTAATGAAGTGTACTGCTTATGTCAAAGAGTAACCAGAAATATTTCTGTCCTCTGAAGAATTTATGATAAAGTATTCAGTGTTTGTAGAATTATTTCATTGTTGTTTTAAAGCATAAGGATTATAAGAATTTTTAACTCGCTTATTCCTTTGTATAAAACTAAAAGGAAGAAAAAAAATCACTTGTGATCATAAAACAAAAGAAGTCAGCTACTCCAGTAATAAATTATTTTCACTTACTTCATGTCAAACAGGAAGTAATGAAGGAACTAGAAGGGCATGAAACAGGCTAATTTTAATGTAGAACGCTTTTAAAATATATAAAAATAAAAAAAGTAAAAATTATCAAAAATGTTTTGCATAAAATGTAATAATTATCCATGAGGAAAGGAAATAAAAGAAACAATACAGTAATCCTAAGTTCATGTACTACTCTTGTTTCTTTTAAAATTCCCAGATTTTTAAATCTGTATTTTTCTCACCGAGATCTAGAAAATGGAAAAGTATCAATTGAAAAGTAAAATATTAATTAACAGTGTCATTCATAATCAGTGCTCATAATGAAATTCAAACTAAATATTTTCATCTATTACAAAATAAAACAAATATATTAGGTACAGAGGCTGTTCACACATTTTTTAGATGATGTATATTGTATTCAGAAAACTAAATTACATAAAATTCTTGTGTTTTAAATGTTCTATTTGACATCCCTTATTCTGAACTATCTTTCGACACCGCAATTTCCAGGATAATAATGCCTTTTGAAGTGGCAGAAGAGGTATTCTATCCCATTCCTCCCGAACAGCTTTCCAGAGTCCTGTTAGGGTTTTGGGACAACATTTAGGTAATGCAGTTTTTAAAAGTCCGAAAGCACAAAAGCCAATTAGGATGCAATCACACCGCTCACCTGAAGGTTAAAATATAGGAAAGCAAAATTAAGGGTTAAATTCACCAATTCTAATGAGAATGCACTAGCGATGTAAAGCAGTGCAGTTTTACATAATTTCTGAGTAAGCTATTCGTATTAACTTGAAATTAATGTAGATAATTACTGAGAGAATTATACTTTTGTAGTGCAGTTTACGTGAGATGAGGTCAGTTTGGGTCACGTGATGCAAAACGGCAAATCAGGATGTTGAACCATGAAAGCATAGTAAATTCTTAAATTAATGTCTTTTTACAAATTTATTGTCTTTATTGGCTTTTTACAAAATTTTAAATCATATTAATATGTTTATGCCTTCAAAATAAAAAATTTGGAGAACTAGAATTTTTTATGTGTATTCTGTATGCTGTTTGTTGCCAATAAAGTCTGCTTGGCGAGATTTGCGCTGGCAAAACGAAAAGTACCAAATAAAGGAGGCAATCAACCTCAGTATGAAAACGTAGACCATTTCCACCTTTCTCTTAATATTCTAAGCATAAAAATTAAAATTAAAAGAAAGTCTTGACAAGTTGTGAAAAATAACTAAGGAAAATTATGTTTACATAACCATTGACATGCTTGCAACATCATGTCATGAGTTTTTTTAAATTTTCAGTTGGCATTTTGGAATATGCTACGAGTTGAATTTTTGCATGCTTATACACAACATATCTTATAGGAAGCATCATTTTGATATAGTTTATATTCTTTGGTTATTTTTGTGTAGATTTGAATATTTAACTATAATTTCTTCTTCAAAGGCCAGACTGCCCAGGATGGGCCTTTGCCTTCCTCAGAATCGAATTCCAAGCTCTTCTATCCCTGGCGATGGACATCCAGTTGGTTATTCTTAAAATTCTTAAGTCTGTTTCCAAACAGTTGAGCCACCTAAGTTTAGGTCTCCCTCTTTTTCTGGTGCCAAATGGTCTGGCCGAGAAGATCTTTTTAGTTACTTGATTTTCATCCATTCTGCACAGGTGTCCTGTCCATTTAATTCTCTGGTACAACTCTAATATACGCCCTAATTTCACCAAATGTGGCGATATGTGTTCTGTGCTGGTTTTTGGCGCGATTGCGTGTTCTATAGCAACCCTGTTGACGTTGAAAAATATTTCGCTGGAGCTCGTTGGTTCGCCTCTGTGTCTGAGAAGATGGGAGGGAAAAGATAAAATGGTAGAAGTTGTTGAAGTTGAAGTTCGGCAAAAGGAAATATTATTGTGGCCATCCTGTTGAGGGGTAGTGGGTATTTGGAGGTGTGGAAAGAGGGTCTGGGAGATTATTTTTAAGTGGCTGTGCATGATAGAAGTAGGGATTTGTGATTTTTATTTATTTGTGAACCATAGTATGAATTTTTCTGGATAGTGTGTCTGGCTGTCATGTAAATACGATAGTGATTACGTGGCGGCATGTTAAAGGCGGTATGAAATTTATATTTCTGCTATTCGAAAACGCATTAATTCATGGTAAGTGCATTTTATTTTATCCTTGTTTTTTTGTAGAATGTTATGTTCATTGGTTCTTTAGTATGAATTTCTGTCGTTATTGTTGTTTTTTTAAATTGTTTGAAATTTATTTTAGTTTATTTTGTTGTTTAGTGTCTAGACTGTGCAATTCGTAGATGTTTTTTAGAGTTGAAACAGAATGCTGTGTACATGGTATTATTTGAAATTTATTGTTATCTTATTTTATTAAAGCGAGGAGTGCGTAGATCGTAGATTCCTTCCTTGCCTAAATTGTGCATTTCGTAGAATTTTTTTAAAGTTTAAACAGGATGCTGTGTACGTGGTATTCTTTGAAATTTATTGTTATGTTAATTTATTAAAACGAGGTGTGCGTAGTTTGTAGATTCGTTCATTGCCTACATTGTGCAATTCGTAGATTTTTTTTAAGTTAAAACATGTCGCTGTGTACATGGATTCTTGCCAAATATTTTTGGTTAGAAACTTTACCAGGGTTGCCACGCTACCTGGAAAACCGGAAAAAGTCATGGAATTCGGAAATTGACCAAAAAATTCAGGGAAAAGTCAGGGAATTTAAGTGTTTTAGTCAAAATCTGGAAAAGTCAGGGAATTTCATACAACGATCCCGCCAAAAAAGGCAAGTTTTGCGCTGACGTCGAAAGAGATCACTTTTTTGGCGAATTGTGTATCGCGTGAGTGTCATTCGGGCAGCTGGCATAGAGCCAATTTTCGCAGCTCCAATTTGATTGTCTTTTTAGAAAGGCAAAGCAAGTTTCCCGCAACTTTTGGTTTCCAGTTCGAGAATCGCATGTGCAGTGCATGAACTAAAGAAAGTACCTGTTCTCGTATAAAACAAAATGGGTTTAATCCTAGTATACGGTGCCATGAAGGTTAGAATAAAAAAAATATGTGTTGTAAAGAAGGAAAACCTCTCTGCAACAGACGTGGCTCGGTTCCATCATAGCGGGAAAGAGCTGTGCCTGCGCGATATATCTGTCGCCAAAGCTCGAAACCGGTGTCGAAGTTCGAAGGTCACGTTATCAAGAGTTCATAAAATGAATATCGTTTAAAATGTCTTTATAGGAAAAGAAAATATTTTTTGGCGCAAGTAAATTAATTCATGGATTACTTATTTTAAGGGGGGGGAATATCTACGAAAATCCGTTTTTAAAATTACTGTGAAAAATCCAAGAAAAAACGTTCTTTGATAAAACATTTCTTCTTGGATTTTTCGCAATAATTTAAAAACGGATTTTCGTAGTTTTCTTTTTTGTCAAAGAACGTTTCTTCTTAATACGTGTTTCTCAATTTCCTGTACACATCGCGGAGAGGGAAATTCTGGCCGTTCCGTCGTCAAATCCCTTGGCAAATTTTCCCTCCGCTTTTTACATAGACGTTCTTTGGTCAGAATAATCTCCATGTATGCTACAGCGGGATTTGGCGACATGATGATGAGCAGTAAACGGGTCATTTTGTTCTTGGCGACAGTTTTCAAAATCATGCGAAGGCCGTATCGTATACTAGGATTTTACCGCAATTTTTTTTTTTTCTTTTTAATAAATACCTTGTCATTTTGCAGTAAAACAAAAAAATAGTAATCGATCATCTAGGATAACCATGTAATATAACTATATTTGCTAAAATATCGTTGATTATTCTAATTACATTTTTAAGTAATTATCTTTATTTTTATGTTATTCATATCATTTAATGTTGCTTCTTCCCTCTAAATTTATGTATCATTAGTAAATAATATTTCCAATTTTCAGGAAATTTTCTCTGACATAATCCTGAAATTAATTCTAGCAGTATGATGACATCACGAAATTTAATGCACATATTTTTTCCTTATGTATGCTGCGAAATAAATATAAAATACCTCAATTTAGTAAAAAAATATCATTAAATAGATTTCTTTCTTTCGTTTAGCTGCAGAATGTCTGCAAAAAAAGCCTTATGTTATTCCAGATTGGGCAGATTCTAAATCTTCAGTGGAGAAAACAACTCCTATTATAATTATATTTGTGTTTTCAAGTGTTAAGCTGCCTTTTAAGAATACACCTCACACAAATTAAATTTACCTAAAATGTAACCTAACTTTTAGCATTGTGTTGTGATTTATAAGAACCGGATTAGCCTCGTGTTGAACTGGGGATGATCATGAGTAAGAATTAAATAAAACGTACATTTGTTATCCAATGTATATATCTTAAATTTTATTAAGTTTTTTAAGCGGAAAAGTAAACACAATTATCAAACAAAGTGTACCAAGAATAATTAAGAATAAATGTCCTCTGGGATTTATTGAATAATTAAGTGAATTTGCTACACAGTACAAGTAATGCCATAATTAATTTACCTCTTAGCACAGCGAACGTACATTACGCGGATAGACTGGAATTTTCTCGAAACATACCTGGAAAACCTGGAAAAGTCAGGGAATTTCATTCTCCTGTTTGAGTGGCAACCCTGCTTTACGTTTTTGCTATCTAAATTTGTTGTTTTTGTTTCGGATTTTTAGCTAAATTGTGGGTTCAAAACGTAGTTTTTGCATGTGCGAAAACCGCATTTTTGGAAACGTTTTAGGCTAAAAGTTCAAAATGTAGAAAAAAAATTTAGATAGTAATATGGCAGCGTGAAGTTTCTCGCCAAAAATATTTGGCGAAAAATTTGGCGACTTGAGGGCGCATATCAGAGTAGTTCCAATTCTCTGAAGCCTTATATATTTTACTATATCTATTTCTTTAAAAGATTTATAGAGTTCAGAGTTAGTTCTTCTCCAGATATTGTTACATTTTATGCCGCCAAAAATACTTCTCAAAATTTTTCTTTCAAAACGATAATTTAGTTATGTATTAAAATTATCTACAAACATTTTCTAACTTTGTTAGAATTATAAAAGCTGTTTCTGCACTTGCCGAGCTATATAGAAAATGCTGGGTAGAGTAGACTTTAAGGTACCCCTTGTATTATGGCGAAGTTGTTCTTTGATTTATAGCCAAGTTGTTGTTTCATTTATGGTAGCCTGAGTAGTTGAATGTTATGAAAACCCTATTGTGATGTAATCGGGTGCAGATTCTGGGAAATTTCTGAATCATGGGATGGCACTTTTGTGGCATGTGTTAGTTTTGTTTTATTCTTTAGATGGTAGATTTTTAGTTTTATTGTTTAGATAGTTAGAATGGCTGAATGTACTAAGATTAATTTGAAGTTTCTGGTTACAATTTGAAATGCAAAGGGGAGAAGAACATTAATTGACCAGTGTGTAAATGAAGGTTTACTTAGTAGCCTTTATAAGTGCCTTGTATGTAGGAAAGGAATATGTGTCTGGTCAAACGTAAAGACAGTTCAGATGGATTTGAATGGGCTTGTAGGAAGAAAGGTTTAGATAGTCACTATGTGAAGCGTTCCATCAGAAAGAGTACCTGGTTTGAAAAAAGTGATTTAAGTATGATTGATATTTTGATTTTGACGTGGGTCTGGGTGTACGAAGCGAACTCGAAAATCATGATAAGTGAATATTTCCTTTCGGTAGTGCTTAAATGTAAAACATGTTTTTCTTTTTTATGTTATTTTATTGTTTGGTTTAAAATTTTTTTTATTGAGATTATGTATTTTTTGTTTGCCTATATTTTAGAATTTGGTGCTCATTCGACTTTTTAAGTGAAAATATATCTATGTGTACATGGACAAAGTAAAGGGAGTGTGCAATGCAAGTTTGTGCAATTCTGAGATTTTTTTTTAAAGTGAAAATAGGTCGACGTGTACATGAATAAAGTTAAAAGAGTGCACAATGCCATTTTTGTGCAATTCGGGGATTTTTTTTTAAGTGAAAATAAGTCGATGTGTACATGGATACCAAGCTTGTGCAATTGTTTGTCTTGTTATTTTGGCTTTGTGTAGGCGGCGATGTTTGGCGCAATAATCGTCGCTTGGCAAGCCAAAATAACGAGTCAAAGAATTGCACAAAATCGGTATCCATGTACCGCCAAAAATCGCCAAGTTTCACCAAGGAGTACCCTAAACTATGCTTTTACCAAAAATGCTTTGTAATCGTGGAATCATTGTTGGAGCTCATTTATCGAGACTTGTGGGAACAGTTATCCGGTCAGATTTCTGAAAATTTCCTAATAGGTAGGGTTTAATAAATTAGATGATGCTGAATTTGAGGTACTGTGTGGTTATTTAATAGGAAAATAGGAACAAAATATTTTTTATTTATGTTAAGCTATTGATTTGGATTTTATGAAATGTTGATTGTTTAAAATAAAGTTACCTCTTTAAGTAACTGGGCTTTTAAAATAAGTAACTCGTCTAGTGCAGATTCTTTGAGGTATGTTTGTAATGGTATTAAATCAGATATAGAAAATGTAAATATTAAGGAACTAATTTGAAATTTTCTATTTTAGTGATCTGAAAAATAATTTAAAATATGACAATCAATTAATTACGTGTTAAATTTTTTTGCAATAATGCACACATGTAATGCATATCTGTCAGGTCCTGCATGTGAATCCGAAAATACTGAAGTTTGTGATGATTCTGAAATTCCGGATCAAGTTAAATCTCATGAAGGTATGGAAGGAGAGTTGGATTTTGAAGAAGAAGAAGATATAAAGCCAACTTTGTGTGTATCCGAAACTGAATGTGGTGAAAAAGAAGAGGTTAGTGAGAGATCATTATAATTTGTCTAATAAACTTTAAAAATGTAATTTTAGTACAGTTTGTCTAGTAAACTAAAAAAAAAAAAAAATAATAATAATAATTTGTGTTGTCTGAAAGTAATTCTCTTCAAATCATTGTATTTGTTCAGTAAATCCTTGCTAATTTAATGTTACATTTGCTATTGAAAAAGCATCCAAGCAAGCAGTCTATTATTTTCTCTTTTTTCTATATCATGTTTCATTATGTACATTAATTTGCTAATCTCATGTTCCTTTACAACTGCTGTTGTAGCTTTTATCATCCACTTAGTGAAGAATATTCACATACCTGGTAAATATTACCAGTCTTGCTGGAGTTCTCTAATTTATCAGTCCTCGCATTTTCTCAGTAATGAGACAGCTGTCATCAACATTTGGGAAGGCGAAGTTTCATTTATATAAAAACATATATGTAGGCCATGTAATTTTAAACCTTCTGATTTTAACACGTTGAGCGTGGCGCCGAATTTGCTGTCCTTTCCGTTCAGCCGGCAGCGAACTATTTTTGTTGTTTGTATTTTTGTTTAGAATGTTTCAATACATTTCATTAAAACTAAATTTGTCCACATTTCATTGAGACTACATTTATTTTTTAACTTTAATACTGTCGGTTCCGCAGACCGACGGCAGTCAAACGAAAATTCCACTGCCGGTCCCCGCGCTCTACATGTTAAAATATGGGTATTTTTGAATAATTTTTTTTTTTCTATTTTACATTTATATATAATTGTTACAATTTATAAATTCAGGTATTACAAAAGATGTATAAAATTTCAATAACACATTTTTCATTAAATACATTGAAAGCTAATTTTCTGAATCTTGGAAGTGGTATGCTAGAGCATATATAACGTTTTTCCTCAGCATTTTGTGCAGTGAAGTAGGTGTCCATGTGTCCATGACAGTGGACAGAATGGGCACCAGTGCAATGGAGAATGTCATGTATGTAGCTATACCATAATATTGTTACGAATTTTGTGTATATGTAAATAATTTTAGGGAAACTGTATGTGAAACTGTTATATCTGTTGTATAATGTAACATGAAAAGTCTGAAGAGAGCAAAGCTGTGCCAGACAAATAAGATTACAGGGGCAGGTCTATTAAACAATGAGATAAATGGCTATTTCCCTAAATTGTCAAGATATTGCCAAACTGGCAATTGTTTTGGTGACTTAATTTTTGATACCAAGTTTGACAAGAAATTGCCTTAAATTGCCCACATTTGATTTGGTCCTTGTATAAATATAATCGGCCACTATACATGAAGTTTTGAAACTCATAGGCAAAAGTTTAAGGGGGTGATAAAACTATCTAAACAAGCAATTTTCACCATACAATGCATGGGTGGAAAGCCAAGTAGTGACTGCTAGACGGCACTGTCATGGAAAGCATAAAGCGCAAGTTTTCTTCCACATCATCATTTCTAGCTTGGATTTCTAAAGGCATGTCAAAGTACAGTAATCAGGTAAAAAGGGGACATGCATTTTATGTATGGTTTTGCAAATGGTAATGTTCTGGAAGCGTATAGGCAGCATTTCCCAAGAAGACTCGTGCCAGACTTTAAAATGTTCAAGTGATTGCCTGAGTGCCTGTGTGAAAAAAGATATCTGTATATTAGCACTCAAGATGTTTCCCTTGCTGTAAATGTGCCCCACCCAATTGGTAAATATCATAGGACGAAGGATTACACCCCTACCATCTACAAATAGTGCAAGCCTTTATAGCTGCAGATTATGTGCCGTGTGTCTAGTTTGCATGTTGGTTATGCAACAGTTAGCAGCAGGGCCTGATTTCAGTGCACATGTATTATTCACGGATGAATTCACCTGTACTTGTAAAGTCATTTCTAATATGCATCCTTATCACCCCTGATATTTTTTCCCCATGAGTTACGAAAAACTTTGTATTTAACTGGAACTTTCCCTTATGTGTAACTTAACAGTATTTGCTTTCCAGTGATTTTGAGAAATGGAAGGTACTAGACATTTATTGAAGCGGGGAAAAACTACGAGACCAGAAAGAGCATCAGCTCTGAGTTGTTTAGTTCAGTGCTGAGAGATCTCTGTCCAAGCTTTACCTCTTAGATGTGCTTTTCATTATGCTGTGTTTAATGTTATTAATTTGAAGTGTAACTACTGATTGTACTCTGAGACTGAGAAGAGCAGTATAGTATTTTTGTGGAAAGTCACAGACTGAAAGTGTTCTTCTGGTAAAATAAGTTTTATCAGCTATCATCGATTCTGTGTGCAGTCAATCCATTATGAACTTGTATGCATGCAACGATATTATAACCATTACTGAAATATAGAACTGTATACCGAAATTGCTGTATATCGAAAGCAAATAAAAGTGTTAATGGGCATATATTTTTTCTTGAACACAAAATGTAGGTGAATGGTTTGATGTAGTAACTGTCGATTTGGAGAATTAAAAGATAGTTTAATTAGACATAGAAGAGTCAGAGGATTAAATAAAAATATTACAGATAATCTATTGAGGGAAGATCAGGGAACATTAGATAAATAAAATCTGTAAAGCTGCTTAATTAACACAAATTAGCTGAAAATTTTAACTAGAGAAAATAAAATAGAAGTTATAAAGTAAAATAAAATTTTAATTTCAGAAGAAAAGTCAGTCATGTAAGAGAAAATATCATGTAACACATAAGCAACAAAATACTAAATCATCTTCAAATTATCAAGGAAATAAGAAGTTCAGTAATTCAAACTCAGGTAGAAAAAATATTAGGCTTTTCATAAGTTATACACTTGTTATGCTTATAAGAAGATTCGTTTATACTGGGAAAAAAAAAAAAAAAAAAAAACTTTTATAAAAATGTGTAAATTATAATTTAGTACAGAATAATTTAGAGTATGACTCGCATTATAATGATAATATATTTTAGAATCAGTTTAAGATAAAAATCCATTTTCTTAAAATAAAACAGAATGGTTTGAAAAACTGAAAGTAAACAAATCTAAGTAGTTATTTGTTAAGTTGGATACTCGAAATCAATGTAAAGTGATGTCATTGCTTAAACAATGTAAGAAATAAGTGATTGAATCAAAAGTCAATTTAAATATTTACAATGGTTTTTAAATTAATGTAATTCAAAAATATTAAGTTCTTATTGAGGTGTAAGGATGAAATAGAATTTCATGTAATAGCATGCGATAAAACTATTCCAGCTATTTTTGGTTTATCTGCCTTACAGAAATAAAATCGAGTGCTACAAAGGATATGTACGGTAAATCTGGAATGTAATGAAAAGTTACAAGAATCTTTAAATGGATATGAAGACTTATTTAAAGGAATTGGTACATTAACTGGTTATACCTCTCAAATTAAATTAAACCAAAAACTGTTGGTAAAATAGGGAACTGTAGGAAAATTCCACTTAGTCCATAAAAATAATTTTAAAAAAAATCCATAAAAAAAAAGGAACTGGCAACAAAGGAAAGATGGTATTGTAAAGAAAGCTAACTACCTACAGAATTTGTGAAATCATTAGTTGTAGTAAGGAAAAAAAAAAAACTGTTAGTTTAAGAGTATGTTTAGATCCTCAGTTCCTTAACCAAAGTATACTGAAAGAACATTATCACCTACCAACTGTTGAAGAAATTTCATCTCATATGTCAAATGCAAAAGTGTTTAGTGTTTTAGATGCAAACAAAGTATCTTGGTTAACTGTCAGATTCAAGTTGTTAACATTGCTACATTTAATACTGCATTTGGTAGATACTTTTTTTTAAGGTTGCTTTAAAGACTGTTTTCATCTGCAAAAGTTTTGCTGAAATTTTTAGTGGTATAGGAGTTTAAATATATATAGATAACTTATTAGCTTGGGGGAAAGATAAAGCAAATGCATTAGTTTGGGGGAAATAGCAACAAGAAAAACATTATTTAAGGTTAAAGAAGCTGTTGGAAACAGCCAGAGACAAGAATGTTAAATTGAATTTAACTAAATGAAATTTGAATTTAGGCTGAAGAAATTAATTATATGGGACATATATTTTCTAAAGATGGTTTGAAACCATATGAAGGCAAAGTCAAGGCTATTTTAGATATAAAACCACCAAAAAATGTCAAGGAATTAGAAACTTGCCCAGGAACGATTACTTATTATAATACTTTCTATTATGTTTAAGAGATTTGTTAAAAAAAGGTTTTCTGGAACTTGAATGCAGTACATGAAAAAGTATTTAAAAGACTAAAAAGTTGTCTTAGTAAATCAACCATTTTTACGGTACAGTACAAAGTCCAGTATCTGGACGCGTAGGGACTTTCACAATTCCGGATTTGGGATTTTCCCGGGTATTAGGTCATATGTTTAAATCTAGTAAGATGGCAAGTAGAAATCGTAAAACTAAAAATATGAAATCGTGATTTATGAAATAATGAAGTATTTATAATCTAAAGTGTATCAAAATTTACCAAAGAAAGCTTAATATTTATTTGTTTACTTTATTAAACATTTCTTTCAATGTAAGTTGTTTAAGTTGCTTCATTTTTTGTGCGAATACTTTAATTCTGTAGTAGGCAGATATAATTTCTTGTTTAAGTTACATTGCTGAAGTCCTGTAATTACTGTGTCGAGAATTCCGACTAACTTGTCAATCAAAATTTTTTCGTTTTCAGTAACCTCTCTGTCACATTCTTCACTATTGGTAGTGGTATTTTCAGGATCTCGAACCATACTACAAATTTCGCCATCTGTGAATTGATTGATGATTGAGGAGCATTGTCATCATAATCGAAAACTTCTTTTATATCATCTTCATTTATTACCACTTCTCCGCATTCCTTTACAAAATCCGTTAATTGAAAAATTTCTTCTTCGGTTTGTGATATCCGAAAACCTTTAAAATTCGCGGCCATAAAATTTAGCTATCGTTGACTATACATATTTGCATATGTATCATAAATGCATTTTCAATTTCGTTAGTTGTTCCGCTAAAATTCCTACAAAAGTTTCGCTAGTTGTTTCAGAAAAATTAACTAACAAAGTTGTTCTGCTAAATTTTATGTTGCTTATATTGCGCACTAAGAAAATTAAGTCGGAATTGTATTAGTTATTTATTATACTTACTGTCTTATGTCTTGCACATGCTTGAGGTTTATCTGAGTCCTGAATAAATAAATTCCCACATATACTTAAGGCTTATTGAGGGCCGGTGCTAGGTATCTTACTGCCTGGTGCATTTCTCTGTGGGTCCTAAATTCTGCTACTAAGTGCCTCCTTTTGTCTTCCCTAAATTGTGCCGTCCGGTGGGGCCATAAGGGCCCCAGCGCGGGTTCTGGGTTTATGTGAATAACAAATCAGTTATTCTTAATTCAAATAGCACTAAATGTAATCTTTTTGCCTATGAGTATCATTAACAAAATCTATTTTTGCATATGCAAAGAAATTTTTCTTCGCCAACATTTCTTACCGTATTTAACTTAAATGTGCAATCATCGCCAAGCTTTAATGTCAACATAAAAGGTTACCATACTCTTTATTATTCAGTTACTAACATTAAAAAAATTATTTAGTCATCGCTACACGAGTCATTACTCAAGTTGTCGTGTTTTGATAAACATGCTGTGATGAAAGCAAAATATAATAAATAATGATTTGCCAGATTGGCATCAGGGATATAAAATATTAGTAAGTGTAACATCAACAATGTATATATGTAGAATGCTTCGGTTTGAGATGTATGCCAAGCAGATACGCAGCAACGGAGCCAAATTATTGATCATATAAATTTATGCTAAAAAGATTGTTTCTTTAATAACGAGATATTTTATTTAATGCCAAAGTGAAATTAAGAATCGGGACTCTCCACATGTTTTCTTTTGCGCAAGGGTGGGGGGATCAAATGCGCATACATAAAGCATACAAAAAAAGTGGTGGTGTTGGCTTTGAGGTCCGGATTTTAGATCATTCCAGATATTGTATGTCAGGATCTCGGACTTTGTACTGTGTTATGATATAAACATGCCTGTAGTTTTGTACTAGGAGCAGTCTAATTGCTGAATTATTTACCAGTGACTTAATACATTAACAGATACACAGAAGAATTAAGCTCAAATAGAAAAGAAAACTTTAGTCAAAGTACAAGGTGTCTGAAATTGAACTATCATGTTACCAAATTAGAACCATCATTTACTTCCAGTTCTGTTGCAGAAAATCAGCTACAGAATGTCACCAAATCATGCATGCAGCTTTAGATACTAATGTTGTAGCATATGACACTGCGTAGGTTTAGTACCAAAATTTCAAAAACAAGGACTGTGACATTCAAGAAGCAGAGTGCTCTGGCGGCCTACTTTTGTTAATGAGGCCCGCCTGCGAGAACTTGTGGAAAATCACTGTGTGACGACTTGAGAGCTTGCTAAGTAGTTTGACATTTGTGCCATGTCCATTAGTCGCACTAGGTATCACATGAATTTGACGTACAAGCTTAGTCACTGGGCACTGCACGAGCTGACTCAAGCAGACATGTTCTGGCCTGCACTAATCTGCTTGAATATCAATGGAAGGAGAAAATTCTGGACCGGATTTTCAGTTTTGATGAAAAGTGGATTTTCTTTAACAACACAGGCTGAAAAGGGGGTGTGTCTGTGCCGATAGCAACATTGCAAATGCAATTTGACTAACAAAAAGATCATACTTTATTAGTTATAATTTTGTTTATTTGTAAGCTTTAAATTTTTAAATTTAAAATTTGTATGTATATGAAATATATATTTTAAATTTTTAACTTTTGTTGTTAACTGAGTTGTAAAATATATATTGCAGACAGATTCACATGCTCCAAAAGATGTTCTTACACAAGAAACACCATGTATTGATGAAGATGGTCAGCTTAGTCCATCTCTTGAAACGAAAGAGGGAAAGACTGCAGTATTAGCTGGCAAGAAGGTTTATTTATTTAATACTTTAGAGTATAATTTTAGAGCAGTCACATATTTATTGTGAAATGCATTTATATACCATTTACCTGAATATAGATTACTCTTTGTGTCACCTTGCTGTTGCTTATATTGCAGACTAGTGGTTCTTAAATTCTAATTAATCGTCATAATAAATCTGTATGGAACTGGCATCCCTTTTGCTGAAATAGATAAAATGTAGATAAGATTATAATAATCAGAATAAAAGTCTGCATGTGTGTACACATGTTCAATTTATAATGTACATATATCGTACATCATCAATTTATAATGTACATATATATAATCAGTTTTTATAAGCATTATAGCAAGTTGTATGAAATAATAACCATTTCATTGAGTAATTGGTGAGATGTTTACACTTAACTCAATAGTTGACCATTATCTTGCTAATGTAGAGTCATCTTTATATTCAGTGCTCAACTTACTCAGAGTTCTGCCATGTTAATAACTTTCTTACTAAATAACTTAGTTGTGTTTGTCAAAAATATTACTGTGCATCAAAGGGTAGATATCCTGACGTTAGGCTAAAGTTGTTCTGGCACATTATAGTTGATTCGTGGCTCTGATTTTGGTACTTGCGTTTTAATGCAACCAATCTAGCAGAAATCGCCAAACTCTGGACACTATGCATTTTTCCAGCAATCGTGCTCGTAACAGCCCTTCAGTCAAGCAATGCCACCATTTTTGTGTGCATTTTTTTGTTGCATTCAAAGTTCCAACGGTATTTATAAACAAATCATGATATGTTTTCCTGAAACTTAGTTAAAATATGAACTTGTGGAATTTGCCAGCAGTCGAGAAAACTGGTAAAATTTCTGCAGGAATACCGAATTTCACTGAAAATTTACTAAAGGGAACAATGAGCAAATGCATTTACTGGATAGCCACTGCTGTTGCCAAGACTTGCACAAAACAAGTCTCTAAAATTCTGTGATTTTTTGTAAGCAAAAGCAGATTACTGTTGATTCCAAAATACATTTGTATGGATATAAAAAAAATTTAATGTATTTTTCAAACTTTTAAATTGATTAAATCTCTCTTGAAAAACCTTGTTTTATTTCCTGTATAATGGTTTAATATTTTTAATTGTATTTTCTTGAAAGTCAAGGGTATTTCTAAAAATTATAGTGTTTCGAAAGTGTTTTTGTAATTGAGGAAAATTTTTCCTGATTTTTGTTTCATCATAAATATTTTAATATTGTTCAAACATCATTGATACAACTTGTCCATTTTCCACATTCTTTTTATTCGTTTCATTGAAATGCTGAGTGAAGTCACATGAGAGATCATTTAACCAATCTATATTTGGAAATTGGTCATAACTACAGTTTTTTCCTTTCAAAATAGCTTTATTTCTTCTAATAAGCTTAAAAACCAATTAAGATATTTATGAGAACTGTTCCATCAAACGTTTTATATCAGAACCCCAGAATATTGGCATTCAGTTTCCTCTAATAATTGTGCAAATTCTTGTTTATTATGACCACTTGAATTTATAAAATAAGTGACATTTCTTACAACTTGCATTACATGGAAAATGTTTTTAAAACTTGTTTTGCACATAAAACCTCCTGGTGTGTTATACAATGAAATTCAGTCAGGTAGAATGTCCAATATTTTGCTTAAGCTGCTAAATAAAACTAACATTTTTCACACGATTCTGGGTGCACCATCTGTTGTCACAGAAACAATTCTTGTAGATCAATATTGAATTTTTAAATGCATTATCATATTCTTTAGAAATATCAAGACCAGTATACTTCCTTTGCAACTTTTAAATGTGTTCTTATATTGTATGTATGTGAAGTTAACTTTCCCTTTTTACAAAGTCATTTTATTCTTTTCAATCACTCCATATTTTTCAAACCATTTTGTTTGATATGGTCTGGAAGTGGTATAATTTGTTTTTATTTTTTTTAACAGCTGACATAGTACGGGGCTACAAAATAAAACTATATTTAGAAGAAATTTTTTTAACGTTATTCACACAAAAACATATGTACTTCCGAAGAAATATATTAGCCATCCATTTCAATAATACGCCAAAACAGCATCTATCCTTTAAAAGTTATTTTAAAATATGTTTTAATATATTATGGAATTTTTTAAATTTTGTAACTGTAAAATTTATTTTAAAAGTACTGTAGTATGTTATAAACTATTTTTATGCTTTATTAGTCATGTTAATATTTATCAGAATAGTATCAGATTATAATAAGAGGTTCAAATGAAATAACTGAAATTATATGCACCCTCTTTTTGTGGTAATAAAATTTTGATTTCACAACATATCCTAAAAATACATGCATATTAACAATGAAATTTATAAAACTTAAAAATTGTGTTCTAAATATGTAATAAATTGATTTAAAAAACTGTTGTAAAATAAAAATTTCAAGAAAAGGAATTTTATTTCATATAATCTTTTAAAATTTAATGAATGAAACTATTAAAGGTAGATGTTATGTATATGGAAATAATAACGTGATGATGCTTGTAAATGAATAATTTTCTCACTTCGCAACAAATACCATTTCCTCGGCATTAAAAGGCACTCCATTCAAAAAACAGTTTTTTTCAAAAATATGGATCAATGAAGCTGGTTTTTTTTATTTAAAATATGTACGAAAGTCTATGCATTAAATGTTTGTCAAATAAATATAGCTATGATATGATCTATGTACAATGTTGTTACACGTTTCTAGCTTAGATTAAATGTTTGAAACAATATGTAAAGATTTTCATTCAGTTCATGTCACAAAGTTTTAAAACTACCAGTACTATAATTAAACTGAAAACTGACATCATTAAAAGTTTATCAGTATGAGTAATAATTATTAACTTTGCTAATACCAAGACGAGTCCTTGATAATCAGCATATCTGATAAATTTTCTACGAAGGAATATCATGGTTTCTAAACTATTAAATGGACTGGCTTTTTCTTTATAAAGACGTGAAGCATTCTTGTTTGTAGTAAACTTTTCCCCAAAAATTAATATCGGAGCAATGTTTAGTGGAATAGTTTAGAAACAGTTTATACAAATATGAAATCAGAAATCTTACCTCCTCAAAACCTTCCGACCATTATCGTTGAAATATATGCTTTTATAGCACTTCATTCATGAGAACGTTAGATGTACCATATCAGACAACTTTTCAGGCACCTGTGCATTTTAAAATTACAGGCATGTGACTGTAATGACTCATCAGAGGAGACGATAGATATAGGACTTGAGTGATACATGATAAAAAATCAATTGGCCAGTCGTCCACTTGGAAGTACTTCTTTTATAAATTTAACATTAGATATTTATATTTTTAATTTTTTAATATTTTCAATTATCTGTTAACTTTTTATGAAAGAAAATAAATTGATAAAATTCAATGCATTGTTCACTTAAAGAGCCTTCATGGGCAATGTCTGACCCATTGGTCATAGGTTCTAGAGTGACCAAAATGCTAGAAATGTGCCTGTTAATGGGACATATGACTTTCTTGTTGTCAACTCCATTTGGACCAGCGATGGCGGACTTTTTTTGTGTTAGTGTGCCAGTTAAATTATATAGTTTATTATTTTCAGGTGTCTAATATGTCACTTGTGATATTTCTTTTTAAAAATTATCTTCAAACCCCTGCTTTGATTTCAAACTATCAAATTGTATTTTGTAACTGTTTATGCTGTTTAGTTATGAATGGCGCCCATGCTTGTGCTCATTTTTGAGTCTGTTTTTGATAGCCATTAGGCTCGAAGATTTTTCTTTCTTTTTTTTTCTTTTTCTGAAATGTTGTTTTTAGTAAATGTAAATGAATAAAAGCAATTAAATATGTACCTGCAGCATGCCACCAAAATATCTGCTGTGTGCCATAGGTTTGCCACCCCTAATCTAGACTGTAATTTTTTGAATAACTTTCTGTGGCAAAATTAGATAAATCAGGGGTGTTTGTGCTCCGGGAAAATCCCGGAATTCCGGGGATTTTCAACTTCGATACCTGGAAATTCCGCGGATCGTCGTTCAAAAGGAAGTAGGAATAATAATAAATTATTTATTTTGATCTGGGTAATTTTGTTTGCTTTGAAAGCAGAAAACGCAAAATCAGTGTGTGTGGTGAAAACTTCCTTTCTTTCTCCAAAGGCAATGATAATGCATGGAAAGGGGGAAAAAACTTCTTTTTTGTTTTTCCTTATTGCGAGTTATGACTCTTCCTCCGGTTCTCGGACATTCTCTTCTGGATTCTTTTCGCAAGTAGGCACGGCAGGAAAAAAGGGAGAGACCTCGTTTTGACCCGATGTGCCGCCACATTGACTCTGGGTTCAAAGGTCTTATCCTCTCCTGGCATGGCGCAATAAGTAGAGAAGGGGGATTTTTGCCGTGTAGCTATTGTCATTGAATGTTCGCAACTTTTTTTCTCCGCTGTAAAATTTCATTTTCATTTATTGATGCACGTGTAATTTTTCGTTCGTTTATTGAAATATTTTTTTAATTTATGTATGCAACAGAATTTCACTATGAAATTCTGGATATAATATGATATTATACAATTAGAGAAGGTGTTCGGAATGATTTAGTGGAATTGGATTGAACGGAGAGATGGTAATGGGGGATACCATTGGCACATGGTGCAAAAAATAAATTTGCGGACAAGCATATTGTGTTTTTGTAACTCACTGCTGAAGTATGGTGGGAAGGATTCGAGGCTTTCACACAAATCATTCTAAAACTGTGCGCACATAAAATATT